TTATGCATTATTTATTTAATTTAGAATATTCATTCACAAATATAAAATTAGGTCAAAATATTACACCTCACATTTAACATAATTTTAAAAGAACAATTGAAAAATAATTAAAAATAAATGTATTTTTTTAATGTTATATTTCATATTTTTTCATTCCATTTTATATACATATATAAATAAAATGGAATAAAAATGATAAAAATCACACGTCATTAAGAACAAATATAAATCAAACAATAATTAACTACTATAAGTATACTATGTATATAATGTGTAAATTCATATACAATATAATAATAAATTGTTTGCACTAGAAAATAAAGCACTCATAATTTGGAGCACAATCAAATTCAGTTGCACTGACACACTATTCTAAATAAATATAACACAGAATACACTAAAAAATAAAAATCACTATTTCGGCATAGAAAAAATAAAGAAAAGAAAAAGAAGTGGAGACAGCATTACGCGAGAAAAAATAAAAAGCCAGAGCATCCAGTAACTCCATTACAAAACAGCCCAGAAAACTTCTACTGACAGCAACACATCAATAGGTCAATAGTAGTCAGCTGAGCTATGATTGCGATCGCGTTACGTGGTTAACAATGCGTATGACGTACGCCTAGCAAGTTCAGTCACCTTCGCGATTACGTGAGGAAAAAATAGAGAAGAACAAAAAGAAGGAACACATATCTAATAACGAACGTGCAGGTATACGTGGTACACGATAAAATCGAGATATATAATCGACAAGCGAGCTGTAACCGCGGGGTGCATCGAGAATGTCCAGGAAGCACGAAAGTGTCTTGTTACCTGGATATCTCGGGTGCATGCGTTCCATCCATTATTTCCATTCTCGCAGGACTTCCTTGAATTCAAACTGGCACGAATAATCATCACAAAGCACGACGGCCATGTTTATGCTCGTCAACTTAGTCTGCATGTAAATAAAACTTGGTCGCGGCACAATGCGTATGATCGGTAGCTCGCATTTCTGTATTACCGAAATCTATGAGAAAGCTTTACGACAAACGAGTATTTAACCACGTTAAGTAAATACAGCCGTGCAGACGACGACACATAATTGCGAGCACAGCGGACCGTCTGGTCACACGAAAACAAACCTCGGCGGTAGTCATGCTAACTGTAGTGAGTCGACGATAAGCAAAACGAAAATAACGCGTAACGTTAAAAATAACGTGTGAAATAGTTTGTTTACGTTCACGACGCTTTCACAGATAACAGTATCGTTTAAGGCATACACACAGTGAAGGAATTTTTCTGACACGGAGAAATTTATATTCCGTCTGATCATGCGCGAATACACAATTCCGCGATCAAGTACTCCGTGACCAATGCTGTACAGCTCGAATATCGAAGAGGTTAGGTTTACTGATTTTTAATGGCAGTGACAATAATACTTCTTCAATATTATTGAAAACTAACGCGTTGTTTTTGTTTAAACGAATTCCATGGTTGGAGCGACTGTTACGAACTGTTATCCTGCGTTTCCATGGAACTAATGTGTTCTTTATCCTAAAGGTGGAGCCACAATGAGGGCGTTCGCAGCGCTAGCTTTGAGAAACATTCAGTTGGAACTAAATCTGTTTCAAGCTCAAGAGAATGAATTGGCGAAGCTGGTAACAGGCAGGTCTCGATTCAGTCGTGCACGGTCGAGTGTTGAAAAAAGCGGGAGGGAAAGTGAGAGGTTCGCATGTTGTTATTCAACTTCGACGTGGGTGTCAAACGTAATTTCGATTTCGGCAGTACACGTCTGTAAAGGAAGAACTACTGTCTGTAAAATGCAGTAAGTCTTGAGACATTTTACATTAAATCATCATAAATACGAATCTAGCGCGTAATGTTTTCTTTGTCACATACATATTATTTTTAATTCTGTAACACACACCGCTTTAATAATCACATTTTTTAATTTCTAATTATTGATTTGGAGAATATAATCACGAATTGTTATCTACAAACACATTCCCATTCGTGGATCACGAACACTTTGTTTGCATACAGTTTTGTTTTCATTTTCATTGTGTCAAGCGATATTACATATATGTACAGCTGTTGTAGTATAGTGTGATACATCGATTTGGCGCGCTCGAATATTTTACAAGTTGTCCTTCTAAATGTATTTCAAGTCTACCAAGCCTTGAAATCTGTATAAATGTGGATTAACGCAAAGACAAGAAATGCTATTCATTTGAAAAATTCATGTAATACAAGTATATTGTTTATGTAAGTAATATAATTTCATTTCACGGAAAAAGTACTGTAAATAAATAAATACATAACTTAATTCCTAATGTGATGTTTATTATAAAAATATTGACTAACTATTGACCTAATATTGTTCTGTGTTGCTTCAACATTACCTATATTTACAATGCAATGTATTTGAGATTGCATCATCATTATTTAAAATTGTAGATTTTATAGATAAGTGAGTTTTGTATATCTTTTAAATTGTTAATCTTGATTTACAAATTCTAATTACTATTTTTCAATTAAAATAAATTTTACTATATCAATATCTTGAATTTATAATTGTAACTTTATACTGTATAAAATGTTTTAATAATATATATATGAAGATTGATTACTATAATATTGTACCTTATATCCAATATACATGATTCAAAATATTTGAATGTGACACAATATCATGTGATGTAACTTAATTTATGAATTGGTAATGAACTACATTTCATTTAAGATTGTTGGCCACAATAGCAGAAGAATGTTATGATCATTAATAGCATTTAAAATAGTTTTATGTATATATCAAATAATTTATTAATAAGCAATTTACTATTTTAACTTTTAAATATTACATATATTCATTCATTATAAAATTGAAATAAATTTGTTTTAAAATAAATTTTGTAACATCTATCATTTTTTATTTACAGATATGGAGTCATTCTTAGAATTGTTTGATCCGGATAATAAGAATGACCAGAATGATACATGGAATAACCCAGAGATTGAAGGAAATCGAATATCAAATTGTGAAAATTCATGTATCAATGATGATCACGAGGAAAGACTACCACCAGAACCTGAACAAGGTAATATTGAATATAAACTGAAGCTGATAAATCCATCTAGTCAGCGATTTGAGCACCTCGTAACGCAAATGAAATGGCGCCTTAGAGAAGGTCATGGTGAAGCTATTTATCAAATTGGTATGAAATTGTTTTATGTTTACAATTATGAATTATAAATATTTAATTGAGCACCACAAATTCATTGAGTTCTATCTTTTTTTAAATGATTAGGTGTAGAAGATAATGGAAAATTAACAGGTCTAACAAGAGAGGATATGAAAGCATCATTAAAAACACTAAATGATATGGCTGCTAGATTAGGTGCAACAACAAGTATATTACGTAAAAGAATTGCCAATTCTAAAAATAAAGATATGTCAATACACAGTAATAAAGAGGAAAGACAGGTAGCAGAAGTTTTAGTAAAAAAGTTAAGAAAAGGGGATGGAGAAGATCAGGATAGTATCATTGATTTGAGACTTGCTGTCACTGGTGCACAGGATGCTGGAAAATCAACTCTCTTAGGTGAGAGGATTAGCAGAGGACATTTAAGGTAGAGAAATATACTTAGAATTTACTCTGCTAAATTCATCGCTCATCTAATTCATGAAATTTTATTTGAAATGTAAATTTTGATGTGTCTGTAATGTGTATAGGTGTATTAACCCAGGGTGAACTAGATAATGGTAGAGGGAGAGCAAGGTTAAATATGTTGCGTCACCTTCACGAAATAAAAACAGGTCGTACATCATCAATATCGCATGAAATTATAGGCTTCGACAATGAGGGACATGTTCTAAATTATAGGGAAATGGCAACTGCAGAAGAAATATGCGAACATGCGACAAAAGTTGTTACATTTATAGATTTAGCCGGACATCGCAAGTATTTAAGGACTACGGTACTTGGTCTCACAGGTATGGTAACTCAATCTCCCTTAAGAAATTATAAAATTTAATAGTTTATCCATAATTCTACTTTACAGGATATTCACCTCATCATGTAATGTTAGTCGTAGCACCACCTATGAATGAAGCATCACAAGAACATATGGCATTATGTCTCACATTGGGACTTCCATTTTTTATAGTTGTAAACAAAATTGATCTTGGGTTTTATAGTATACCCGGCACAATAAACCAGTTAGAGAATGCTATTAACGCACAAGGATATTCTAAACATTTAATGATGTATAATAACGGTCAAATGTCATGGAATTATGAATCGGATATAATACCAGTTTTTAATGTGAGTTGCGTTACTGGGGAGGGTTTGGAAGAATTAACTAATTTCATCAAGAATTTGTCACCATATGACGTCAATTCTACCGATTCAGATTCTGAATCATGTCTGTTTCAAATTGATGAAACCTTTAGGTATATATTTTCTTCAATTAAAAAATTATATTTCAGCAACCATTTTAAATAATCACATGAGTTATAAATTCAAAAGTTTTTCTCTTATTTAATATAGAGTAGCAGGTTTGAACGAACCTGTTTTGGGAGGATTGCTTGTAAAAGGAGTAATCGCTCCTGGAACTCGTTTATTAGTAGGTCCTTTACCAGACGGTGAATTCACTCCCGTTAAGGTCGTTAGTTTACATCGTAACAAAGCTCCATGTTGTTTAGTAAGAGCATCTCAGAGTGCTAGTTTAACATTAGCACCGCCAACAAATCGAAGTCCTCCTTTACCTCATTTACGACCTGGAATGGTTTTGATATCACTATGGGACCAGCCACATGCAACACTTTTCTTCCAAGTATGTTGAACTCGTCGAGCTTTCATAAAATACATGTACATGACATATGTATATTTAAATAAATAAATAACAATTTTACTCAAATATTTTTAGGCAACCGTGTTAATAGTGTATCATGCAACTGCAATATTTTCTGGTTTTCAAACAACTATACACGTAGGAAATGTAAGACAAACGTGTATCATTGAGGGAATAATGGACGCAAAAGACAGAGGTTTACAAACAAACGATACAGCGTCCGTTCTGTTTAGATTTGTTAATCATCCAGAATATTTACATGTCGGTATGCGACTACTATTGCGAGAGGGTCGTACTAAAGGAATTGGTAAAATAACACAAATATTTCCATTAATTGGTCAACAGAGCAGTATGCAATAATTTACATCAAATTTTGCGCGTTAAAAGTATTAAAATGTTTAAAAAGTTTATAAAAAAATCTAGTTATTTAAACGTTAGATATATTTACGTCATGCGCCTTACGTAAATATTTAAAAATCGACAGTAGTATTCGTTATGAAGGACAGAATGGTTTTTTCGTTCCCGAAGTAAATTTTCTTTTGTTGGATGTAATGTGTGCATGTATATAACTAAGTATTTAATTTTATTTTCTGAACTTCTGAAAGAGAATTTTTTTTACGTAGAAAAGACGATCTTTATAACTTTTTCTGTCTCGTTTTCTTTTTGTTAAAAATATATATTAAATTGTTAAGGATGACAAATGTTCGGATTCGGGAGAAAAAAATTTGATCATAAAATTTCATTAATATTAGTTATACCTTCTGACATCTTTGATTAAATCATATTTATGAAATTGCTGATTATTTAATGATATGAAAGAAAAGATCGTTTTAAATATTTAACGTCATCCTTTTGTGTGTGATGCTCTAGTTTATAAATTCGTCGTGAGAACAATCATTATAATAATGTAATGTTTCTCTATAAAATCTGATTATACATATGAATCTATTTATTCTGCTAATATTTGAAAAACAAAAAATTAAGAGAATTTGTTAGTTATTGCAGAATAAATATTTTTACAATCGATTGCTACCGCGAAATGCTAAGTATCGATTGTAGTATAGTTTTTAATTCATATAACTTCCAAGGAAAGATTATATTATATACAAAAAATTTGTAAGTCAAAGAAAGTTACTGCAGGCGGTTGTATTTGCGCATGTGTCTAAATTACAAGTGATACAAATTTTTAAATTATCTGAAACTACATATCTTATAAAACACATGTTAAAATGTTGTGTTGTTGTAAATTATTATATAGCTGCTCGAAAACAAATTTTTGATTTTTTTACGTTAAATCTCACGAGCAACGTTGTATTATAAACTGTAAAATATTTTGAATAAAACAGAGATATTTTAAACAAATCTGTTTTTTATAGTAAAGTACTTTTTGTACTCTGAGGAAAAAGTACTAAAACCAGAGTTTATTAAAAATAAAAATACTTATCTTCATTATGCAAAACAAAGTAGGTCAGAGAAAGTGGCCTTCTACATGACCTTAAGGGTCAAATAATTTCAGTATTATCGTTTTTAATCAGTAACTCTTATAATTAAAAAAAAACAAAAACATTTATTTATTGCGATTACATAAAATAATTAAATAATTTAATATTACACTATCGAAACGCAATTTAACGTAATATTAAATTGCATTTGAAAATAAAATGCAATAATATTAATTGCGAGAAAATACTATTCCATTAGGAAATACAGATTTAGCATATATAAAATTGCTGTAAGTGGGCTGTTTTCATAATAACGTACACAGCTGTAACCTAAAAAGGTGAAAATCCAAGGAAAATTGAATAAATAAATCAAGCATGAATATTTGTATCAAGTTCTCGCCACGTGCAAAGGAAAAAGTGTCCTTCAACCGAGCCTTATTCGAAACGAGATTACTCATTCAAAAATGATAATCACCCGCACGACCAACAGTATTCATGAAACGAAATGTGAACACGGTCGAGGATCACATCGAGGATAAGCTGTATCAATTCAAAAAGAAAGCTAATAAATGTTCATCTTCATCACTTTAATATTTCTAAGAAATATTCGTGTTTCAGATTATGTGGCAGGATAATTCGGAGTTGGAACATTTATCGTGCCCCAAAAGAGCACGAGCCTTGTTGATTCGTGCCTGATGAAAAAGATGAAAGGTCGGTTCGCTATAAGCCTCTTCTGACTTGCATCACGCTCTATTGTGACACTAGTCACAGCTGCAGCTTCAGTACCTTTTTCCGTAATGTCGATCTCCACCTTTTGAAGAACGTCAGAGGCAGCGATATGCGGATTGATCAGATTGGCGCTATTTCTCAGTTTGTCCAACCCGTACGTCGGGAAATTCCGTTTTTTTACGAAGTTCACAAAGTCTTGATTGATCGGCCTGCTCTGCCTGCTTCTTCTTCTAGCACGTTCTTCCTTTTGGAAACGATACTTATTTTCTTCGAGATTTACAACCTTCGCATTATTATCATTGCCTTCAGGTTTCAACCCTACTGTATACGAATTTCTATCTTCTTCGTTCTTGACATCACGAATACAACGAATTTTTTTGATAGAAAACCCAGTCCTCCACTGTTTCACGGTATAACCACAATGTTTGTCCTGGTACGTGAAGAAGTTCCTTTTTACCATATGAATCGCTTGATCGCCATTTGAATCCAGACGGCTGACGATCAATCTATCTTGAGAAGAAGGTGTAGTCATAGTTGAACGTGACATGGACGATGTGGATGTGGTATTTTCAATATTTCTAATAATCTATCTTGAGAAGGTGTAGTCATAGTTGAACGTGACATGGACGATGTGGATGTGGTATTTTCAATATTTCTATTGTTTATTTGAGATAGGAGACTCAAGTCGGCCAATGCTGGATTGAACAGTGAACGTAGGCCTAACGATTCAAGCGTGGTCTTCAAGCTTATGCTACTGGACAGCTTCATTCGCGGAAATCCAATAATACATGTTTCGTTTTTCGTGTTCCTAACCAAATTTTCGATCATATCGACTGTTAATTTGTTTGCAAATTCTCGAAGAGCTTTTGCACCAGGAGCTTTAGGAAGAAGGACGTACATCGACAACTGAAACAAGGTGCAAAATGATTTAATATGATATAGCATTATTTTCAATGGAAACAAAATATAGCTATAAATACTAATTTATTCGAGTAAATTTCTACTTAACATTAAATTCTTAAGTACTCACCTCATGACCCTTGTATGGTAAGCCAAGAATTTTCACCCCTAATTGTTTGTCTTCATAAAAAGGAAACGTGCCTCCATTGTACATCATATCGACGTCAACTGACTCGTTTGGTTCGACGGAAAATGGTCTTCTGATTAAACAAACCAAATCAAGACAATGATGATATTTAGTAGAGGAATGAAAATGTTTTGAAAATTTCATTTTACACGAACATTTTTAAAAATACAAAAGTACCTTTTCGTAGCTCCGTCGAAGAAGTATTGGTTCCATTCTCCATTGAAATAAAGAGCCGATAGAAGGATCATCATGGTATCGGGACTAGGTGGTCCGTTCAGGATATTTGTTATTTTGCCCATTGTCTTCTCCTTTAACCACGCATTTATCATCTTCTCAGCCCCGTTTGCATTTCTAGCAAAGTCTACGTTGATTACTTCGGTCTGATAAACTTCGTTACTGAGTGCTTTAAATTGTGTTAATATCGGAAACCCATCCTATATTGCAATTATTAAAGTCATAATTACACATTGATTTCTAAATCAAACTTCACTCGTGAGAAGAAATTTTACCTGCACGTATGTCGCTGTAGCGAAATCTATTCGTGGTCCAGGGTTTCCCATCATTTTATTATCCAGTTGTTTCAACATTATACCAAACATCTGATGTACGATCTCAGAGTTTCGCGAGATATCGACTCCAGCTTCGAGTCCAAGAACTTTGGTCGCCTCGTCGAATGTTCTGCCAGCAGAGCCTGCAAGAATGATTGCCAATGCCACGGTAAGGCTGATCGGTGAAAAAATGATGTTGTCTTGTTTCTTGATCATGGGTATGCTTCGAGTTCTATAAATCTCTCGTTCTACATCCAGGGCAAACTTCAATACTCCATTAACGATGATGTCGTTCACCTGAAATTACATCAAGTACACGATTACTTCGCAGTTATTCTACAGGCCAAATGGAAAATTTTCATAAGTATTGTGATAAATACATTCTACAAGAACCTCGACTCATTTGGAAAATAAATATTTTTCCTGATCTAAATAAACAGATTACGCGTTATGGATAATAACGAAAATAGTCACGCAATTAGAATGGAATCACATATCCCTGTTTACAAGTGAATTACCGCGACCCCGTTGTGCAACACATAAAATGCTATAAGGTCGTTTAGTTTTTTAAATTAAGCCTGCGCATTTCTATAAATCCACAAGACCTTTATTCACGTTGCATCACGTGTAATATAATACGAAAAAAGTGCTTGACCGTCATCGGGGTATCATTAACTCAACACTGTGTATCCTTAAAGTTACTTGACCAATTTGCAACTCTTCATCTTCCGTCGAGAGTTTCTCAATTATATTTCACAATGTTAAACGTTCCTAGTTTCATTCGTGACTCACACGTTAATCAATTAAACTATGATCGCTGGAAGCTAAAGTCAAGGAGGTAGCAGAATCTTTCACTAGGATGTACTCAATATTTTCCTGCTTACATGTTCACCCCAGTCTTGCAACGCGTTCTTAGGGTTAAACAAATCCGCCTGATCCGGATATTGAACCTCAGGAAATACTATCGGTCCAGACAATGTTGTTTGCGTTGCGTCAGGTCTCTGCAACGCGATCAAAGGGACACCCGAATTCTCCTGAGACCGATGTTGTTGCGGATACGCGGGAAATTCCATTCGTCTAATTGATGTTGTTCGCGTTGCGCCATATTCTTGTAACATGTTCGGAAGGCCTTGCGGATTCGTCTGAGGCGAATATTGTTGTGAATCCTTAGGAAATACTATTGGTCTAGTTGACATTGTACGCGCTGCGGCAAATGCCATTGGTATAGCCGATGTTATTTGCGTTACGTTATATCGTCGCAACATATTCAAAGGGCCTTGCGGATTCGTCTGAAGCGCATATTGTTGTGAATCGTTGGGAAATACTATTGGTCCAGTTGATGTTGTACGCGCTGCATCAAATGCCATTAGTCCAGCCGATGCTGTTCGCTTTGCGACAAATCCTCCTTTGCGCGAATTCTTCCGAGGCCAATATCTTCGCGGAGTCTCGGGATATACTATTCGACTAGACGATGCTGTTTGCGTTGAGTAGAATTGTTGCTGTCGATTCGCTTCAGTGCCAACTTTTTCATTTGTCGAAAACTGACGAATTCTGGTAGGAACGGGAGTGCTGTTCAACGAATCGTCATCCGGGTACCTCATCTGACCGAAGCAAGTGGCTATGAGGCCCAGGAGTAACAGTGCAGTCGCCATTGCTGAAAATGACACAAACGCTGATAATTTCGAAGGTTTTTGTGATAAGTGTGTTTTACGATAATTATATAACTAACAAAGATTAGAACAGTGTTGGAAATAAATATCAGGGGATCATAATACTCGAATATCTTTTGAAATGTGAATATTGTTGTTGTGATGTTTATTATTCGCGTTATCACATAAACTGTTCATTTCATATTATATTACAGAGAACAGTGTGTTTAGTAAACGTTACGTATCGAGTAATCAGTGTCAGAATGTCTGTAGAATGTCAAGCACTGATAGTGGGAAATCGAATTAATAGTCCCGGTTATTATTATTATAAAAAGCTCGTTATATTCCGTTTAGAATGACGAAAGCTGTGATGAAGTTATTATTCGCTATTCGTTATTTAATCTTCGTTTCCCCTTCTGAGCTGTGTCACCCTTCTGCAATATTTTCATATCTCGAAAAGTACAGTAATCTCCGCAAAATTTGTTCATCCCGACAAGTATAGTAATCCCCCAAAATACACATTTGCCTCGAGAAATAAATACCAATGGCAACTTAATTTATCATTTCAATCCTTAGAGAAGTTTTATCCCACTGACTAGTGACTCCAACGTATATCTGTTTTCTTGGAAAGATTTTGAAACGGGAATTTCTTTTTTTCGAAACAAGTTTTATTTCGGAATGGGAAATTTTAATACCTGACAATTGATACGCACAGTAGTTTTATTCACTTTTTCGCTTTTATCGAGGAGAGCAAAATCAAATGTTACGTTTATTAATCCTTTGCACTACAATGACGAGTCTAACTCGTTACGAATTCTTCATGTCTCATGATTATAAACTATACTGTTGACCCTAATTATGTTTCACGCTTTTTACATGCACAAAATTCGAAAAATTTCTAAAATTTTTATCTAATTTTATCGTGCATCGACTAGGTATAATGGTGGTTAACTAGAATCAAATACCACTTGCATGTATACTTTTTCACAATTAAATCGTAATGCAAGGAGTTAATATCGCCATAGTGGCGCTAGTGTAGCACTAAGAGTAATATATTAATTTTACGATTTTTGGGTGTCGATATCTCGAGTAAAGAACGATTGAGAAACTTTGGCCTGCGCTTTTTCTTCATTTTAATAACTCGAATAAGTTAGTAAATCGAAGGTGGTTCGATAAATGTAACGAGCACATAGTCGTCGAAGAAAGATTAGCTATTTCCTTCTTTCGTTTCTTGGTTTCGCTATATTTTTATTTCTTGTCGTAAAGAATTAACGACGGAATCGGTATAATAAGCAGCTAAAATAAGGTGCGTGACATGGATCATCGGCATTCGAAAAATTTTACTTCGATAAGCACTAGAAAAGTTTATTTCTTCTATTAGCCTATGATATTCAAATTTTTTGAATAATATTGTAATGAAATAAAAGAATGCTCGTTTCGTTAACTCGAGGCTTTCACTTCTCTATTTCTCCCTTTACTTTACCTTTTATTTCTAATTTTATCTTGTTAAGTCACTTTGAATATCTTAATCAACCATGCAGTGCAATAAAACGGAAGAGAAGTCTGATTAACTTGGGACCTTTATGTTTTTATTCACCTCTTTATCTGATCCTTCGTATCTTTCATTTTATCGCATTATTAAATTACTTCAAGTATCTCGAATAACCTTGCAGTGAAATAGACGAAAAAAAAATCCAACTAATTGTTCCTTATTTATCTATTCCGGTTCTGTTATGTCATCAAATTATTTCTCGATCATCCACTGGAGGAAACAAAAAGAACACTTATACGATTGAACAAGGAGAAAAAGAAAGCACAAACACTCGAAAGCCAGCTGCTGGGTTCTAAATATTCATTTTATGATGCATTTTCGCGAAACTCGTTTGACGCCAAAGTGACCACGTGCTTCTCTCTTTCTCTTTCTCTCTTTCTCTCCCTCTCTCTGAGAGAGGAACTATAATGTATATAGCCAGCACAAACAATGTTCACGTAATCAGACAACATCATTAGCATATTACGTCTAATCTAGTGTCACATTAACCAATAAGAAAAATAAGCACGTGCCTGGAGAATCAGGGAAAAAGGACACCATAGAAAACCTTCGATTCTTTAAATCT